TACCCTAATACTCAAAGCCTAATTATATTCTTAGTGTATTTGGTTATTTTTTATGAATTTTGTTAGTTTTAACTTTGAAATGCTAAAAAGTCTGTCCATGGTTCAATTTAAGATTGCTATACCAAGTTGTGGTGGATAATAAACCATATAACTCACCCTTTATAGATACCCCGAAAAGCTTAATCCTAGGGATTTTTGCTTTATTGATTAACCTTAAATTGATGGCAATGTTCTTTACATCAGCGTTTGGCAAGGCATCATGAGGGATCTCTGGAATGGTCAATTTCAATTACTTAACACCTAATTGATAGAGGCAAAAGTTGGTGTGGCTTTAAGAATTAAGGCTTAGATATCACAAAGACATAGCAAGCGTAGCTAATATAATGAATCGGTTTTTTTCTACCCCTCGCTAAAATCGCACGGCGTTTTAAACTAGGTTGCTGTGCCAACTGCTTAACCTTGAATTTTCGCTAAACCGGATTTAGAGTAAATATATTGTAGATACGAAGATAAATTGGGTTTTATATTAATCTCCTGAGATAATATTATTGAGGGGACTTTCATTTTGTATGAAAGTAAATATAATTTAACGAGCCTCTTGAAAGTATCTAATCAAGATGTCCTAATTTGATACCTCTTCAAGATTGCAAGGCCGAATCCTTATGTGAAAGGACAAAGTTGGGAGATTTGGAAATTCTTACTTATTCATTTTGGTTCATAAATATTGCAGTCAGTTTTCATTTATTTTCGTTTTTGATAATTGGCTCGAAAATTATCTACCGAATGTTGCAATGTCTCGTTTATTACATTTTATAAACTAGCACATACGCTATCAACCATCAGAAATAAAATTTTTATCTTAATAAAACTTATTTTACACACTTAATTTATACTGTCAATTCAGTTTTGTATCTGGCATCAACTCAACCCAAATGTGCTAAATTCTAGATATGAAGACCAAGATGTGGCCTTTTGTTTGGTCACAGTAAAGGTACTAAGTTTTTCAAATACCATGCGTTATCGCCTATAGCTATATGAGATGTACACCCTATCTCGATTAGGGTGATAAGGGTATGGCAGTTGAATTTTCCCACAATGATATGAGTAGACGGTAAGTTTCCACTAAATTTCACACAATTTAGATTCCCCAAAAGTTATTCTTGTCCAGAGTGGACTGTAGCTTCGACCTAGTCTCGGTCTTATCAACATCCCCAGCGGGATTCGAATCATGATATTGCAGCTAAGTTAGCCACTACGCCACAGTGACACAAGTACCCTTGGTTCACAGGACAGATGTGAACTACAAGGAAGACCAGGCATTTTTCCATATCACATGTGGTAAGGATGAGAATACCTTTTAGGAAAGTAAGTCTATGTGAAATTCAATGGAAATATAGGGTCCACTCATATAATTGCAGGAAAAGTTAAGGGTGCATACATCTCATATATATGAACCCCTAGTACTAGTACCATTTATAAACACAAAATAGCTTATAGCGTTTGACGTGAATATCTTCTTTACATGCATGACTTCTCTCATTTTACATATTTTTTCGTTATCCGCCATATCCTATCTCATTAACACTAAAACATTTTTATCATTTTCCTCGGTTCCTTAGGCTGCCCACCTTTTTGTTCGCCGTTCGCATTCTGGATCATCTGATCATCCTTGCCAGATGGATTGCCTGACTACCGACATAGGCTCTCGACAAATAGGGAAAAATGAGGCTGATTCTAAGGAAGAATGGAGATCATTCGGCAACTCATCCGAGCCCATAATTGAATTCTGTCAAGATAGTCAAGCTGTTTCGATCGCGGATAACCCCTTGTTACTTGGATCTCCATCTTTTCTCACGGTCGACAAAGCTCCTGAGACAAGGCCTCTAAATTCTAAACATATTTGTTTTAACAATAGCTGTCCTAATAATTTCCGTAATCAGCACAATCGCCAGCTTGGAATGCTTCACACGCCTATTGTTCAGAAAAAGGATTACTATCACCATTGCAGGTGTCGCGGATTCGCCTATTCCAGTCATAAAGAGTCACTTAAGTCTTCATTTAATAACCTAGTACAAGAGCTTTGTTCGCATCCTCCAACGTTGGAGAGTCAATCTTTCCTCCCTTCAGATTCAAAGAAGGAATCAATTGTTACTCGGCCTTCCAAAGTGCCGGATACTCTTTTTTCTGGATCCAGTGCAGTCACTCGTAACCATGGAGGCAGCGGCCGTGACAGTTCTTTGCATACTTCAAATGTATGTTATACTTAGCATCATAGGCTGGGCTTCGCCCGGAAAATTATTATTGTTACCTTCACTCAAAGCTCTTACTGCATTCTACAAACTCAGATCTCGTTTCGTAATTAAGCACCCTCCTACTCATATCTTTATCTGGATCGTAAGGTTTTTCCTTGTTCCTCGAATCTTACACCTCAATCCCTTCATTAACCTTTATGACTAAGACGACTTAAAAATATTTTCATCTGCCATACAAACATCCACTTCCCACCAGCATTTATCTTTACTGCAGTCAGGTCACTTTTTGTTCCGCTTGCTTACTTCCACGATAAACATTATAAATAGCGAAAATGTCATCATTATCATCTGTCTTGTATCCCTGGCTAGTGGAGAA